GACCTCCGCTCTCCCTCACTCCACCCCCATTTTAAGGCAAATCCCCCCAGACTCTTGGAGTATCGACTAGAATATATATATAAAGTTAATAAATTAAAATGAAACTGGACCAGCCATTTATCAAGATGGGAAGATAATAAAATGGATACTTAAAATTCTTAATTAGAACCGAAGAAATTGTAGATGATCTCATTCAAGATGTAGAGATGAAATCATACAAACTGCTTAGATTACTGCATGACGTGATCCTATCTAGCTATAAATTTCAGCCTTTTTATCATTTTTTTATTAGAAAAATACGTATTCTTGAGTTCTTGAGTGATTCTTATATAAAGTAGTATAATTTTAATTAATATATATACTATAAATCTTTTTAAAGTTTAAACCAAGCGTTCTTAACCTTTTTTTGTTCCGTGGACCCCCTTGTTAAGAACCACCTAAACTATAGGTTGACAATACATTAACTTGTGAGCATAGGAACTCCATAGAAATAGCTCCAACAAACTTAATTTAACAAGCTATAAAACTTGAAAGTAAATTAGTCTAGGCCTGTAAATTAGATTAAGGCCTATATAGATGTTATTACAAACTGAGCATAATAATAACTTGGTAATATTCGTAATAAGTTTGATTTGATTAAAACTTGATTACCGTAGAGCTAAACTAAATTAAACTAATATCTAGTTTAATGTAGTCAAGTTAAATACCTTCTCCATGTTTTCTGCATAGTTTAAATAGGCGAATTCGAATATTTTTATCGCGCCTGGTATAAAATTAAGCTTTGTATATTCTTCCTTAATCTCATATATAAATAAATTTTATAGAAAATATCTCACGCTTTCCAGCTCTTTACATTAGAAATGCTCGGCATCTAATATTGGTGGATAAAATTAAATCAACATCTCTAGAAACTTGTATTGATTTATATCAAAAATTCCTACCTGATTTTGCTATAATGTAATATATACTATATTAACATGCGAGTCAAACGAAAAACTTTCAATCGATAAGAATAGAATGTTTAGAAGTGTAAATATAAATCATTTTTATGATAGATACTACAGAAATATTTATACTTAACTAAGTAATAAACTTACTACTAAAATAACAGTTTATATTAAACTAAAAACCCATAGTTTTGATGAAATTAACATTACAAGCAGACTAAAAGGGGCTTTTGCCTAGGGCCTCATGCTTTCAGAGGCTTCACTCACGAATGAATCATCGATACCAGATAACAACTTGTATAATAGTTCTAGGATATTTTCTACTTCTAGAGAAGATCCTAGAACTAATATACGAGTTTTAAGATCCTATTCAGTACTATTAGATAGGATCCTAGAACTCGTGTAATAATTGCTCATTATATTATATACAGTACACTTGCATAAAGGTCCTGCTTGTTTAGGGCCTCGCATAATCTAAACTCATTACCGCGAAGAAGCTAGAATAATAAAGATTATCAATATCTTTTAATAAATTTAACTCGGTTACTGAATGTTTAAATATTTAAACTGTATTGTCGATGTACAGGTTAAATAGTGGCGGGTTACAGTTTCACGGGGCCGAGGCAAATTTGAATTAGGGGGCCCCACGTACTGTACAGTGTTGACTTCAGACGTTCTTCTCCTAGGGAACAGATTAATTTGAGGCCCTCTTTTGTTGGGGATCCAGTTTTGCCCATATGATAACTCGCCATTGAGGTCAAAGTTTAAATGTATAATAAAATAGGAAATCTTATGTCTTATCTGTATACAATTTTTTTACATTAAGAATAGCTCAGTCTATACTTTCTACCCATAATCTTATAAATTTGTACTATTTAGGCATTATAATTCTTTCACTGAATCGTCGAATGACAGGGATTTTTTCACGAATAAAATAAACATTCCCAAAAGCATCTTTAAACATCAAACATCGACAAGAAAAATCGATACTTGTCGACACAAACAGAAAAAAATCAGTCGATGTGTTTCTACCGAAGAAGAAGAGAGAGAGAGATAGAGAGAAAACGAATTTCATTACGAGTTTCCAAAATTAGAAAGAATTCTTTGCTGACCACACAACCGCCTCCATTGATACGGACATTTGTTGTGAAACTAATGAAGGGGTAGTCATGCTCAAATGGATCTCGTCATCCTCTCCCTTTCTAAATCAAGTTACTGTTCCGTCTTTGGGGTAATACTAATGGAATCGAACTTTGCACACACCTATCGCTCCGGGCACAGTTGTGTGCAGTGAACACAAAAAACGTCGATTTTTACATAATTCTCTGGCAGAATTCTAATGTCCTGGGGATAAGATCTCTTCGATCTAAGACAAAATTTCTTCCTTTTTTTTAACTTTTTTCCCCTTGTTACTGTTTGCTGGATAACTTATCGGAAAGGATACATGTCTACAGTGTTATTAAAAGTTCGGAAAATAAAACTGAATTTTATTTAAACTGGTTTCTTAAGAGTGAATTTATTTATTTTTTATTAAAAATAAAATATTTATCATTTTAAATACGCGAAAAAAAGCTTAAAATTCGTTTAAAATTATCATAAAAAAAGAATTTATAACGATTAAAAACTNAGATGATCTCATTCAAGATGTAGAGATGAAATCATACAAACTGCTTAGATTACTGCATGACGTGATCGTATCTAGCTATAAATTTCAGCCTTTTTATCATTTTTTATTAGAAAAAATACATATTCTTTAGTTCTTGAGTGATTTTTATATAAAGTAATATAATTTTAATCAATATATATACTATAAATCTTTTTAAAGTCTAAACCAAGCGTTCTTAACCTTTTTTTGTTCCGTGGACCCCTTGTTAAGAACCACCTAACTGACCTAAACTATAGGTTGACAATACATTAACTTGTGAGCATAGGAACTCCATAGAAATAGCTCCAACAAACTTAATTTAACAAGCTATAAAACTTGAAAGTAAATTAGTCTAGGCCTGTAAATTAGATTAAGGCCTATATAGATGTTATTACAAACTGAGCATAATAATAACTTGGTAATATTCGTAATAAGTTTGATTTGATTAAAACTTGATTACCGTAGAGCTAAACTAAATTAAACTAATATCTAGTTTAATGTAGTCAAGTTAAATACCTTCTCCATGTTTTCTGTATAGTTTAAATAGGCGAATTCGAATATTTTTATCGTGCCTGGTATAAAATTAAGCTTTGTATATTCTTCCTTAATCTCATATATAAATAAATTTTATAGAAAATATCTCACGCTTTCCAGCTCTTTACATTAGAAATGCTCGGCATCTAATATTGGTGGATAAAATTAAATCAACATCTCTAGAAACTTGTATTGATTTATATCAAAAATTCCTACCTGATTTTGCTATAATGTAATATATACTATATTAACATGCGAGTCAAACGAAAAACTTTCAATCGATAAGAATAGAATGTTTAGAAGTGTAAATATAAATCATTTTTATGATAGATACTACAGAAATATTCATACTTAACTAAGTAATAAACTTACTACTAAAATAACAGTTTATATTAAACTAAAAACCCATAGTTTTGATGAAATTAACATTACAAGCAGACTAAAAGGGGCTTTTGCCTAGGGCCTCGTGCTTTCAGAGGCTTCACTCACGAATGAATCATCGATACCAGATAACAACTTGTATAATAGTTCTAGGATATTTTCTACTTCTAGAGAAGATCCTAGAACTAATATACGAGTTTTAAGATCCTATTCAGTACTATTAGATAGGATCCTAGAACTCGTGTAATAATTGCTCATTATATTATATACAGTACACTTGCATAAAGGTCCTGCTTGTTTAGGGCCTCGCATAATCTAAACTCATTACCGCGAAGAAGCTAGAATAATAAAGATTATCAATATCTTTTAATAAATTTAACTCGGTTACTGAATGTTTAAATATTTAAACTGTATTGTCGATGTACAGGTTAAATAGTGGCGGGTTACAGTTTCACGGGGCCGAGGCAAATTTGAATTAGGGGGCCCCACGTACTGTACAGTGTTGACTTCAGACGTTCTTNTTTTTTTTTTCTTTTTTTCATATCGCCCTACCAGAAGAAAACTTTATAGTTAAATTTTATATTCTATAAGGGAAAGTTAACATGTTTCATGATTAGATCAGTTAGTGTTGAAATATGTTACACGATGTTGCTTCTCGCAGAACTGAAATGCCATTTTCTTTGTTTTCTAGTTGAACATTGTAACCAACTGATGCCACTATAATTATGTTTGCTGTTGAAGTTTTTCCTTAATTAAAGAAAAAAAAATGTTAACAACGTAGTTGCTTAGTTACAAATATAATTATAACTATGTAACTAACTAACATTTTGTTAAATCGAACGTAATTATTCAAATATGTCTTCACAAAAAAACAATTTAAAATGGGTTTGGTAAACAGAAGTTTCCTTTCTGTAAAGAAAAAAATATATATATAAGACAAACTAACTTTAAAAGCTCTTATAAATTTATATTTTTAACGAAAAATATGTCAGAATTTCTTTAAAATTTATGATTCCAGATTAAATTGGATGAAAAGCTTACGAGAATAATATATTTCTGCATATATTATAGGATTACATTACTGTATCCTATTCGTATCTTATGACACAAAACTCGTCCCGAGGATATTTATACTGAAAGCTCATTTATATTAATTTAGAAGGGGGGGATATTTTTTTACAACAGCTTAAACCATTTTAATAGAAGATTGTTTCCACGTCTAAATAAAAATGATACTTAAAAGAACATAAATTATAAAATAAAAATTATTTTTGTAAAGGAATTAAATATCTCTCTCCAACATTTTTTAAAATAAATGTTGTCCTTTAATCCCATTGTGTTGGATATCAAAATCCTCTAAAACTATGAGCCTAATTAGAAGATGCGTACAGGCGTGAAATTAATATTCAAGATAGCTTAGTATTTAAAAATAATTATAGTTCGTGAAGTACAGATGGATAAGATTTCTTTAAAATTTTTAATAGTTTAAAGTAGATCTTATTATTAACATAAAATTTATTATTTTTCTTTTCAAGATATGTGCCAATCGTTTAGCGTGTCCTGGTCAGGCGGACGGCCATTACAAAGCAGTGTGTCGAGCTCTGGTAGCCGAAGTGTTAGAATTATCTACATTTCTAGAAAAAATTTCAGCAGGTACTAAAGAACTGAGACAGCACGCTTTGGTTGAAACTGATGGAGAATCAAATTTAGATAACTTGAAATTTCAAGATTGGGTAAAAAAACAAAATGGCTATTAAGATTTTATCTCCATATTTTTAAAATATATACTAACTTATAACCTGTCTTTTAGGCGGGTCTATGGATGCAAGTAATCAGAGAATTGCGCCAAGGTGTAAAATTAAGAAAAGTGGAGAGAGATCTTAATCCTCAGCCCATCGAATTCGAATTGACTCCTTACGAAATGTTATTAGATGACATACGTTCTCGTAGATATAAACTAAATAAAATTATGGTTGGTATATTTCTGTTACTTCACTGTAAATTTCAATAAAATTATTAATAAGTTCTATAATCTAGGTCAATGGTGATATACCTCCGAGAGTGAAGAAAGATGCCCATGCCTTGATTTTAGAGTTTATTCGATCTCGACCACCGTTGGTTCCCGTACGTTTTCATTTATATTTTAATCGATTTTAAAATGCAAAGAAGTATAAAGAGCAATAAATATTTACAGGTATCAAAAAGAAAATTAGCTCCCGCTCCACCGAAACAGCCTACTCTATACGAGAAACTAATGGCTTCCATCCGTCAACAGCATACGCTCCGTCCTACCGGAAACAGGGAGGAAACAGGTGATGATTTTAGAAAATAAAAGCGATATTTCATTCCTTTCCATTTTATTGAATAATAACGAGATTATTTTTGAATCACAGTGGAAACGTCTAGAACAAAATTAAATGATAACGACATTACGCCTCAGCCTCGAAGACGTTTAATTAAGGCTGATTTATCTCTCTCCTTAACACCGAGTTTTGATGACGACGACGACGATCCCGATTTTCCTGTAACGCCTACAACCGAGAAAACTGCAACTACACATCAAACAGATAATGTAACAACCATTAAACCACCAAGCACATTATGGCAACAAAGTAAATTTTGGAAACTACTCTTTAATTTTTAATAAATAAAAAATACTAAAAACCCCCCCTTTTATTTAGGTCACAGATTAGAAAGAAGACATAGCATATCGGTTTGTGAGTCGCCTACAAAACCTCAGCAACTAGCATTAATTTCAGGAAAATTCATTTGTAAAAGTCCACAACTTCAAATATCTTCGATACCAAACAACTTTTCAGTTTGGAGTGCAGTGAGTAGATTTTTTAATATAAAATTTCTTTTAATTATTAAATTGCATCATTAAATATTTAAAAAAAAATGAAATTTAGTTTGAAAATCAATGCTTAAGGCTAAGTTTACGTTTAAATTAACTAAAAATTCTAATAAATTATAAATTTTCGCAGTTAAAAATTAATAAACAGTGACCTAAATTTAAAATTTAACACGAATTCGCGTGATAATAATAACAATAATAATTAATAATTACTGTTAATCGATGATACGCGAAATTAACGAATCGAAATTACAGATTAAATTAATTACATTTAAAAAAGAAATTTATACTTTTTGAGTTAAAAATTTGAGGTGGTTTATAACTACAAAACTCACCTTCATAACGTTCAGAGAAAGGCCGATTCGTTCATCGTTAGATGTGATCCCGACCACGTGTGGATCTTCTACAGCAGTAACAACTCTTCACCATCCTGACTGGCTGTCTGTTCGACTCGTAACGTTCCCACCTACTCTATCGACCAATAGAAGTTCGCAAAGTATACGCTGGGAGGTTACAGATGTTGTCAATTTGTCAAGTTGACAAAAACGTCTAGACTTTTGTTAGATTTTTATTATTTTCTATTGAAATTATTATTATTTTTTCAAATTCAATTTCCCATTTAAAAAATTGGCAACGAAATAAAATATAAATTTCTCTTAAAAATTTGTCAAATATTTAGCACGCTTCTATCGAAATTAACTTAAAATATACGATTTTAAACGGTGTTAAGACAGTAAAATAAGTAACATAAACTCACTTTTTTATATGTTTTAATTAATTATTATATTTAAATATTTGTTGCAACGGATTTTTTTTTATATAAGAGCAGGAAAATTACGCTTTTAAACTCCGTATAATATATTTTTTCTCGTAAAATTTTATTTTTAAATTTAATTATAAAGTATAATTGGCTCGGAAGCATTAAATTAACTTCTAGAAATCTTCCATTTATGAATAAACTTGTTTGAAGATTGTAACTTTAAAGAGCTACTGCACAAAACTGCAATTAATTATATACTTGTTGAACAATTCTAGTAGTTCGTATGAATGTAAAGGCAAAGAAATTATTTTAAAAAATAGCAATTTAACACGTTTACACGCTTAAAATTCAAAAAAAGTCAGGTGTATTTCCCGTATCCACGTGCAATTGTCAAATTCGACCAACCAAACTCGAAACTTTGTTAAGTAATATGAATACAAACTAATTGCTATAGGCTTATTTCATCCCCGAAAAATGTTTTTTCGACTTTAAATAATGCACTTCAAAGAAATTTTTATGCAAGAAACAAACAAAATTAAAATTTCCAAAACGTTAAGTTTCGATAGTAATAAACAAAATAATTATATTTAAGAAAATAGTAATGAAATTTGCTTACATTACTGAAATTAAAGAAGAGCTAAATTATTTGTTTAATTTTATTTTCAACATTCCCTTTCCTTACTTATAATTATCAGTTGAACAAATAGATAGAGAAGGAGGGAGGGAAAAAAACAGGGATTTCTATATACAGTAGCCTAAGGTTATTTATGTAACTTAATTAGCATTTCAGTATTTTTCATTTTTAAAAGTTCGGTTTACTTCGAAAGTTTTTAATTATGAAAAATGTATTCGGTTTTCGGTAATGAATTTTATGAAAATATAAAATTTTCGTTAATTTAACACTGAGTTTTTCTGTGTTAAGTTTTAATTCGGGGTTAGAATCTATAATACTAAACGTATGCGTTAATTAAAATACGAATAACCTCGTAAAGTCTGCTTTAACTAGGTTTAATAAGGTTTAAAATGTAAGATTAAATTAAATTTATGATTTTTTTTTGTCTTATAAAAAATGTTTATTCGACTTAAATGGAAAATCTGTATGTTTGTTAGGTAAAAGATTCTGTACCGTTCGATGTATCCGCACCAAATTTGGCAAGAATATTCTTGGAAATATTCTTAGAAAAAATAATATGGAAGTCCCCACCCCGACACCCCCTAAAGTACACCCCTCTTAACTTAAGACCCAGCAATTTTTTTGTGTTTTGCAGCTTTATTATTGAAAATACTCAGGCTAATAAATGTACTGTATAGTAGTTTTTATCACCCCCTCCCAACTCAACCTCACCAATCTTCCACCTCATCAAAAATCCGAGCAACACTGAACACACGCAGCTAATTTATTATAAAATAAGCGAAATTAAAGGGTCTATAACAATCAGTAACAAAGTGTTTTTAAAGCATTTTATTTATATGATCTAAGTCTTGAATTTTTAATTAATTTGCTCTACTTTATCTTAGAAAACACACCTAAGAACTTGAAAAATGAATTGAATGTAGCCTATATAAAAAAATTTATCCTTAAATAAGGCATTCGAATAATAATTTCAGACTTAAATAAAGAAATTCGTCATTAAATATTAAAAAAAAATGAAATTTAGTTTGAAAATCAATGCTTAAGGCTACATTCAAGTTTACGTTTACGTTAACGTTAAGGCTACAAGTTTACGTTTAAATTAACTAAAAATTCTAATAAATTATAAATTTTCGCAGTTAAAAATTAATAAACAGTGACCTAAATTTAAAATTTAACACGAATTCGCGTGATAATAATAACAATAATAATTAATAATTACTGTTAATCGATGATACGCGAAATTAACGAATCGAAATTACAGATTAAATTAATTACATTTAAAAAAGAAATTTATACTTTTTGAGTTAAAAATTTGAGGTGGTTTATAACTACAAAACTCACCTTCATAACGTTCAGAGAAAGGCCGATTCGTTCATCGTTAGATGTGATCCCGACCACGTGTGGATCTTCTACAGCAGTAACAACTCTTCACCATCCTGACTGGCTGTCTGTTCGACTCGTAACGTTCCCACCTACTCTATCGACCAATAGAAGTTCGCAAAGTATACGCTGGGAGGTTACAGATGTTGTCAATTTGTCAAGTTGACAAAAACGTCTAGACTTTTGTTAGATTTTTATTATTTTCTATTGAAAGTAGTCACTAACAAACAATGTATTTTATAATACAGCCAAAAGGCTTTTAAGTTAAAGAAAATTTATTTATGAAAATTGGAATTTTAATTCTGTTTCGTTNTCATTCTAATATTCTGTATTAATTCTGTTGTAGATGAAACGAATCCTAATTTTATTGAGCAAATTTGCATTTAAATTGGTTTAAAATAAACTATCGTTTATAAAAACTGTAGCTACCCATTTTATTTGTAGCTACAGTAAATCTCGTATTTTCTTGTTAAGTAAACATGCTATGCCATTAGTTTCAGAGTAAAATATTTATCATAATTCCTTACTAAAGTATAGCTTAATAGTTCTATCTTTCTTAACGGGGACTTTGACTAAACACTTCTAAAGTCTAAAAATAAATAAATTTCACGAGGTTGATCTAATTTTGTAAGTGAAATTTTAACAAAATGGCATGTAAAATATTATTAAATATAGTCTAATTTTTATTCTGAAGTTAGATTTATACAGGAGATGGTTTTTCTTCTATAGAAATAAACATAAGTATAATCTTATATTGTACGATATTCAAAATGTTAAAAAATAGTTTTTAACATTTTATTTTTATAAGTTATAGTATTTATTTATTTTATTTATAATTAGGAAATGCCTAGGATAACAGATTTCCTTCCCTCCACAATAAAATACTAAGCCGAAACTATACAAAATTAAGATATGTAAAACTATAGTAATGCAGAGAATAATGATTTTAAATAATAGACATAATACTACATTATTAAATTCTACATGATTAGTCTATGAAACGGCCAATTTTTATTTTAAATCTCTACTTTTATTACGTAATAATTTGAAATATTCACTGAAAATTTGCACAGAAACATCATAGATCCAAGTACAGTACTGTACACTTCTGTTGGTAGTCTGCAAGCACATGGATACTAAATGTTACCTCACATTTCCTCATTTAGTTATCGTGATGATCTAAATTACATTTAGCAACGTTGGGAATCGTGTGTAATCCAATAAAAATGGCTTATAGACTAATTCACGTATAAGACACGTGTACTTTTAATCGTTAAACATTAAATTATATAACCGAAATTTTAATTATAAATACTTCTGTATGCCATAGATTTAATTCTAACATTTATGTATAGTTTACTTATGCCTTATGCCATAAAATAATCAAATTTTGTAACATAACTTAGGCATACCAACCTAAGGCAAAAACAAGATTTACAGTTAAATCCTAAGAATTACAATTAGTTTTGCAAAGTAGCATGATACTTGTTTGAAAAATCTGCTTTCAATCGAATAAAAAAGGAAACAAATTACACACTAAAATCGGATTTGACGCCATAAGGGAGCATAACATTATGATATACTACCTCTCTATAAACAGTGAATCATCAGGATGAGGATAATTTGTAAAGTCCACACCGGTTCATCAATAAGCTACACGTTCTGTTTATCGGGAATAAAGCTTAAATATGTTATAAACCATCCGTATATTTTCTAATTAGTTAGTAACTAACTTAACAGAATTAAACAAGGTTTAACAAGTACGCAAGATCAATACGGCTAACCATATTTAAACTAGGATGAAAGTCCCGTTTACGGAGTATCTAATCTCTCATAATAATCTTCGATTCTTCATTAAACCGCATTCTTCCAGACATAGAATCGGTAAAAAGGGCTTAGTAGTGTATAGACCACTATTGTCCGGCGTTAGAAGCCCCCTGCAGGGCTTACAACGTGTAATCGTTATGGTGTGTCACCTCAACAGCACGGGAACGTCTCTTGTTAACTGTCTCGCTCCCTACGAGGGCCGTAAGTAAAGATATATTGGGTCCTGGGTCCGAGGTGAAAACCGTTACAATGCCTGCTACGAATGAGGGAGGCCCTAAATGCTTCGGGCTTAAATTTTTTTTATTCGGGTCTTATCGCCGAACGATATAAAACCAGATTACGTGTGGTATAGTTGCTTCGGTTATAAATTATCGTAGAATCAATAGCCAGCTCTAGTTTGGTAAAAGATTTAAATCTATAGGGGCTATCTACAACGGGACATACGGAGGTCTAATGTTTATTATGAGTTCTTACCAGTTGCCAATGTCTCTGATGT